AAAAAAAAAAAAAAAAAAAAAAAAAAAGGTTTCCAGCGGTCGCCTAAGCTGGGTATTGGCCACCGAGTCCACTCCCGGGTTGTTTGTGAGGAGGATTCCCAGGGCGAGGTCCAATTAAAAAAAAGAGATTGGATGTACCGGCTGAGCTAGAGGCGTTTGCTGAGAGGTGCAGAAAATGGCGATTGATCCACCTTTCTGCATCCCTTCTAGAAAGTCGTCCAGATTCCGGCGCTCAATCTAAGTGAGACCCGCCCCCGACCTCTGTTCTTCCCTGATTATTAACAAGCTTTTAATCTTTCCAAAACAAAAACAGCAAGATTAGTTTTCTTCTTCCTTTTTTTTTCTTTTTAAGATTGTATCTGGATTCGACCTCAGGCCTGTTTATTTCAATAGTTCAAGGGTGCACCGATCGTGGTTTAGCAAGAAATTCGTGCGCGGGGGCCATGCTTGTTTTCTCGATGCGTTTGTGCGGCGATTTTTTCATGGAGTGGAGAAATCGAGGACGCCATGGAAGCTGCCGTCGAGCTTGAGAGATCACACTCACCTTCCTACGAGCGAAATCCGATGCGGCTGCCACGTGGTTTCACTACCTCCAGTTGAATTGAAAAGATGATTCGGTGTCAGTAAGTGGCCCGCACGTCAACACAGCCTCCCCCGCAGTCTGGGAGTTTTGGATCACGAGAAAACGACAAAACTCAGCACGAACAGGCGGTCGGAGGTAGAGATAAGGGTCGGGGTCGGGGTCCCAGTTGTGTGAATCAGGGCATACTCACACGACCGGTAGGAGTTTTTCGACTGAGCTCTGGAAGTGATTGCGGTCAGATGCATTCGGGAGAGTGCTACCGGTAGTGTGAGTACGACCTGAGGGCATACCATACTCCCATCACACTGGACGCGAATATCCCAAAAAAAAAAAATGCGACGTTTGCTACCGCTTTTGTGATATTTGCGTCTCCTGCCGGAGGGAGATCCCACTAGCCATGTATGTGGATTAGTGTGACGGGTGTGGGACGGTGGGGGACAGGTGGGTGGCAGCGTGAAATAGGGAAAATAAACGCAAAAAAACATTTCATGACCAAACAAATGAAGAAAAAACTGCGAAAAAGGAAAAGAAAGTGCATTCTCACAGATGGTCTCTGCTCCAGGCGGGGTGTCAGATGTCAGGGTATGATTCACTGACCATGGCTGTGGCAGTCAAGACGACTGCATGCGAGTGGCCACACGGACCATGTTCATTGACAATAGTCTGAGGTTTCCTTGAAATAGGCCGCAGTGCACACTGTTCTGTTGTTCTGACAGAAATTCTCTTTGGCGAAGGAGGGCAAGAGTAACTCCATACACCATTTGCCCTAGGTGAGGGGATCGAACCCTCCCAAACACCTCCCAAACCACAATCAATTTCCAGCAATGAAGCCATTTGCCTTTGCTTTGGCCGTGAGTGAAACGTGTGTGATTTCACGAACCAAAAAAATTGGCTGTGATTTCACGCACGTTTGGGACAGCCAGAGGACCCCAACAACAAAAACGAAAGGAAAACCTACCAATGGGAGAGCAAAGAAAACATCCTTTTCCCAGGCTACCGCTGATTTCCTGCCAAATCCACGATGCCTGACAGTCACACACCTTAAACCACCAGTACCTGGCCCAGCTATCGAGTCCGAGCCTCGGCCGACCGGTACGCCGACCCGTGCCGAGGCTCGGACTACCGGGCGCAGGCA